TGTCCAAAGGGCCCATGATTTTTACCCTTAATAGTATTTACTTTTGAAATCTCTCACAATGAGAATGAAGGGCAGATGAGACAGCTTTAATGGGCAGCGTTAATCAACCTTGATGCCTCCAGATCATGGAGCAGCACTTGGCATAACTTATTAGTTATTTGTGGTCTTTGTGGCCTAAATTATGCCAAACTCCTAATTTTGTCCTTCGACTTCCTTACTATTCGGGATATCCATGGCTGAAAATACCATTCCCCTCAGCTCTTTAATTTCATCTGTCCTTGCCCCTTCCCAGTAAAACCCTATAATTATTTTGGGGAGTAGGTCTCCAGAGCGCTGCTCATTAGCTCTTCATTACAGGGGTGCATGAAAGAGACTCTCCTGCAGATGTCCCTGGAGCCTTCTCAGGCTTCTTTGGTTTGTTTTGTTTTGTTTTTAAAAAGAGCAAGGAAAGAAATTCATTGTTATATTTTATGTTCTGAATCATACCATGAATTTGTTACGAATGCTCAAAATTACAGGGTATTTAAAATTAATATAACACGAAGATCTGGAGAATTTTAATAGATAAATTGCTCAATATTTTGTTCTCTCATCACAAGAACAGTCTTTGTCTTGTCCGCTAGCACCTCCTGGAATGCCTTTGATACCTTTATAAAAGTTGGCATGTCACTTTTTATCCAGTTGTAGAGGACGGCTGCTCCTGAAAACATGACCTAAGAGGACCTTGTGGTTCATAGGAACTACGTCATCGCCACTAGCCTGTGGGGTGGGGTGTCAGAGTCGTCATGTGTCTCTGTGACGTTTTAGGGAGAGAAAAAATCTGTTCTGTAACATAGCTACATTTCCTACATTCTAATCTTTCAGCCTTTGTGAAGAATAAGTTCGGGGGTTTTTTTTCCTCAGTGCACTGCACAGATGAGATTTTTTTATTAATTTCTATGAACCAGGTTCAAAATGTGTTTAAATCTGCTTCTCTCCATCTGTGCTCAATCTATGAGCCTTGGATCTTTTTTTAAAAAAAAAATTTATCTCAGAGGATGGAAAAATCTTGTTTTCGTACAATATTTCAGTAAGACTTAGGAATAACTGTAGTGTGTAATTTCTGCAGAGTTTCAAACACTCCCTCCTCTCCCCAACAACTATAAAATACAAAGGAAATTATTTGCATATAAAGAATTTGATCATCCAAACATCATGCCTCTAATGAAACATAAATCAGCTATAAAGAGCTTACTTAGTTTTCCCTAAAAGAAACAAATCAGTCTGAGTTATTTTTCTACATAATTAACGCTATTTGCTGTTTTAAGTAGAGGGATCGGAGTTGTCCAAAGCAGTTAAGATTATAGCAACCTCAGCAGTTTTTCTGTTTGCTTTACTTTTATTCATTCTGGCATCATAGCTAATTTCTAATCAAGTAAATGTGTTTGAAAGTATGATTCGGGGGAGATGAGACATTTCTCCATGCTAAGTGCATAAAGCTAGTTTAACGAAGAGGGTATTGCACACAATGACATTTTCCTAGCGGGTATAATTACCTCTGCAGCAAACAAGCAAATGATGCGTTTCAGGATGCGTGTCTGGATGAGGACAGGCAGATTGGGCATGCTAATACGCAAGGCCATTCACCAGCAAGCCTCTTATTTTTGTACATCAGAGGCCTGTGATGACAGTAGAAGTTGCCTTCTGGTGGCTTTTAAATGTCTCTTTAAAATGTCTCATACTTCAAGCGGACACCCCTTTGGCAGAAGCAAGGGTGGGGGCCCATCATCCTGTTGCCATCTCATTTGCAAATGTCGTCTTTTCTGATCCAGTCCCAAGAAGCATGAGCAGAGCAATGTACAGAAATCCAGACTGCTCCTTTTCTTGTAATATCCAAAGAATATGTTACTATTTGGGATTGACAGTTCAGTCCAAGATTGATCCAGAGCGCACTGAAGTCACTGGAAGTCTGCGATTGCCAAAAACTACCACTGACTTCAGCATGTCTTGGAGCAAGCCCTTCACGGGCGCAGAACTCCCTGGGAAATGGCTTGCTTTATTGGAAAGCAAAACTGAGTAAACAGCAATTAAACACAACCAACTATTTGGACCTCCCTCCACAACAGCTTTGTGGCTTTAGAGCCCTACCCTGATAAGCAGAAATGGGGAAGACGAAGGTCTTTCCTTTTTATCTCATATGGCTCAGCTCAACAGTAATTAGCTTCTGCCTCTGCTTCTGTGGGCCTCCTGCACTCCACAGCTGCAGCAGCCAAACCTTGTTCCCTAGAAAAAAATTAGACTATTATCTCTGGGAATTTATTTCCCAGCAAGAATATTCACATCTCACTTCTCTCCAGTACTTCATCACCAAGATGCACAGCTCTTGAAGGACTATCCAGATCTCAGTCCAATCTACTGTCATGTTCAATAGCTCATCTCTGCAAGAGTTTCATAAATGCACATTTTCCAGATATATCTTCAGTCTGTGTTTCCTCTGGTAATCCCTGCCTGGAATCACAAATTAAGAAATATATCTATAGAAATCCCCAGGTTAATTTAGAATAATTAGCAAAAAGACATTGCTTGTTCACGGAAAGGTTGTCCTTCGGACGCTGAAGATAGCTGTTTGTCTGCAGTCTTCCGTCCTTCCAGCGCAGCTGCCTCAGAAAGCAAGCGATACCTGGGCAGTGGGGGATTTTTGCAGGCTTCACTAGCACTGATTTGTACTGTCACGCTTGGGGCATGAGTTTGCCGTCTGTGATGGGCACCATTTGGGCAAAGCATGCCTTTTTTTAAAGGGAGTGGACAGACAGTGACGAAATAAAAACCCAATGATCTAGTCGATTTTCCATCTGTATTTTCATCTCGAAATCTTGAACTTCTGTGTTCTTCAGCTTCTTCATCTGAAGAATCTCATCTTTCAACAGCCATTTCCATCCAGAATTACTGGTGTTTCATGTACCATCTAGGGTGCTTTGCCTAATGTTTTCAAAGCCAGCTGCAAAGTATAAATCTCTGGCACCTCATATTTTTAAATCACTGTATCTGCTTCCCTACCAGTTGTACAAAGTGTTTTAAAAAAACAGCGTTTTCTCTACGGTGGAAAAACATTTTGGTCTCTGCTGAAATCCTCCAGGTTTGTTGATGTTCTGCTCAGCCTTACTGTCTTTTACTATCCTGTGTGATACTTGGATGATAGCCAGGCACACATAAATTGCTCCCACTCATGCTCTCTCCGGCGGTTTTATGTGCCTTTCACTACTTTCTAGCAGATATTTTAGGCAGCAATTTATTCCTATCACGTTTTTTCCTGCTTGCTTTCTTTCCCCCTTTTAAAACCTATTACATCTTTTTGCCTACAAGTTACTCAGTGGTTTTGGATCCCTGTGGGTCGATGGGTCAGAGACTACAATGGCAAAATCGTGGCTTTCTCTTTAGGCTTATAGAAGGGAGTAGGAGGCCGTAAGAAAGACTCTTACCGCCCAATTTCAATGCTTGCCGTGCCAAGGGGCAGAGAGTGGGCATGACACTGAAGCTGGAAGTGCCCATCTTCCCCTCAGGACATCTGGCTCAGTACGCTGGAGGCAGCACAGAGAGGAGGCATCCTGTGCCAGATGAAAGGGGGGATACAGATTACTTCTTCACTGGAAAATGCAAGAAAACAGAGACTGAACCTGTGGTGCTCCTAGAAACATTTCATTCTTGATTTTCCTCTGGATACCACAAGCATACACCAAATAAAGTCTAAATTTTGGACAAATCCATAACCTGCTCTCTATTAAGTATCCTGATTTTTCATTGTATTTCTCCTAAAGTTTAGAAAAAAAAAAAAAAGGCAAAAAAGATAAATAATTTAAGGGGCTTCTGTCTGAAGGCAGAAGAAAATGAGCAATATGGATTCAGGCTGCAGCCCCCCCAGTTGAAAAATCAGTTTCCACGCCTCCTAGAAGAGCTCCTGGCTTGCTGTGAATCACGTCATTCAAGTGGCAGTCCTAGGGAACACTGTGTCACTGGGGAGGTGAGCGTGTAAAACTGAATCATGCCCCGCTCCCAGCCCTTGCCACAGACCTCAGCTGCTCCACATTTGCATCAGCAAAAATATCTGTGGGGCGTTTTGTGGCCTGAGCTGGTAATTGGGCCCAAATGTAACAACGAGCATCAGTCAGTCCTGGCTTAGCATTGATTAGATCACTGCAAGGAGAGCAGATATTTACTAGAGCATATTGATATTATTAAGGCATATAAGCGTGTTAGAAGTTTGTCATGTTTAAAATAAAATGTGGACATAATAATAACAAAAAGCCACAGAAACTCAGTGCTGGGACTTAGTTCTCTGTCCCAGCCCATCTCTTTAAAAGCCCATTTGTCATGCGTTCATCCAGGTATAAAATGAGTGTCACACTACGTACCCAAGGTGAGTATTAACAGGCCTGTCCTCATCCAACTCTGAGCTATTGCTATCAATATGGTGATAGGTGCTTTATATATATAAATATAAATATATATATTTGCATTACATTTCTAATGCTCTGTCTGACGGACTGTGCATCTGTAGTGTCTTCACAGAGGTTGCTGTGGTCCTAATTAAGAAGACTGTCATTTTAATATCGCATTTGTATCACATGGTTTGTTGCAATTTTCTCATGTGCTGCTACTAAACAAAGCTTCCCTTTGCCTTCCTAGGTTGGTCTGAAGTTGCTCCAGGGCAGGTTTAGGTTGGACATTAGAAAAAACTTCTTCCCCGAAAGGTTGTCAGGCTCTGGAACGGGCTGCCCAGAGTGGTTCCAAAGAATGTTTATCAATATGGTGATAGGTGCTTTATATATATAAATATAAATATATATATTTGCATTACATTTCTAATGCTCTGTCTGACGGACTGTGCATCTGTAGTGTCTTCACAGAGGTTGCTGTGGTCCTAATTAAGAAGACTGTCATTTTAATATCGCATTTGTATCACATGGTTTGTTGCAATTTTCTCATGTGCTGCTACTAAACAAAGCTTCCCTTTGCCTTCCTAGGTTACACAAATGGACCAGAAACTGAACCTCATTACAGATATGCTGCATCACCTGGTCTCCCGACAGCAGGGGGATCAAGGGAACAACAGATCATCTCAGAGAGGCAACAACATCAGTTCGGATCTTTTCCTCCCTAATAACACCCTGCCGACCTACGAGCAACTGACAGTACCGGGAAGAAATGAAGACGATATATCCTGATGTGGCATAAGTCTGGGTTGGGTTCTTCCCACCTTTCTCCTTTAAATGGGACTGAATGTTGAGAACCTGGAAGGAATTAAGTTCATCAGCTGTGCAAGAAAACACACAACTACTGCATCTCTACCACTAGTCTCAAATACGCTCTTCTAAAGCCGCTGAAGGATTGCCAGGCCGTCTTCTACCGAAGCTCCACGTTGATTTTGCTCACGAACAAATGATCGCTACTCGTTGTTTCTCAGAAAGACCAAAACAACGTGAAGACAGGCAAACTGGCAAGGATTCAGAGCTCCTTTAATAATAATAGTGATAATAATATTCTAATAATACTTGAACTTAGATGGAAAAAGTGCATTCTGTTTATGAATCTGCAGATAGCAATATATTTCTACTACTAAGGTTTTTAAAACAAACTAGGATAACTTATGTTGTTTTTATTATATAAACATACACTAACATTCTCGAGAATGACAAACCACATACTGAATGATTTTCTGTTTTATTTTAACATTGCTGCATAAACAGTTATCAGATAATGACCAGGTTTTAAAAATCTGTTTTCCTTCAGGGAGGAACTAATCCTTAATCTGGAACAATACTATTTATAGTGGAAAGTGCTATAGATTTTTTTAAGATATCAGTTTTTCATGGGGAAACAATAAAATGTTACATAGAGAAAATTATTCTGCTTTCTAGAAAATTGTTGCCAAAGAATTTATATATAAACAGAAAACACAGTGGTCTGAACGTACTTGTCCTGAAATAGCTTCTTGAAAAGAAGGCCCACTACTTCTTAGATTTACTGGGTTTTAGCTTAGGGTCACCACGAATAGTACAAGAGGCTGAAGTGGCTGGACCTGCTGGTCAAGTGCCTCAGCTGGCCACTTGCTGAGTGTCCATAATCCTCGCAGGAATTGAGGTCCCAGTTCAGGAAAGCATCTCTCATCCAGACAGCGTATTTGACAATTTGAAGAGTTTCCTGAATAATGTCTTGAGGAATTCAACTCCCTGCAAGAGCCATTTGGGATTGAAAAGTGCCAGCTCTAATTTGTAGGACCGAGGCCCTCAGCTACAACCCACAGAGGTGAACCACATTACCCCACGTGATAATTGCAATAAAGCCAAGCTCAGTGTGATTTTTTACATACACAACGTGAGCAGGGTTTGGGCTTTGATTACTAAGGGTGAAATTCAACCCTTGAAGATAGTCAGCACCTGTAGCATAATAGCCCTGCTTTGAACGTGGAACATCTTTAAAGCTGACAGAGCATCAGGAAAAGCTATTTAGTCCAATGTGGTGGTGGTGGTGGTAGCCCCTACCATTGGCAAAAGAGGGAGATGTAGGCAGATTTATCAGCTCTGGCACTTTGAGCATCATACACATGCCAGTGCACCCTATTCCCCTCACCGCAGAGCCTGTACCCCGTGGTGGTCTCTCTCCTTCTCCTGGAAAACCGATGCCCTGAAGCCTCGGACCTTTGCACAGCAGTAAGCGTCACCAGGCTTTAACATCTTTGAGCAGTCTGAAATACTGATGTGTAATCAACTGAGATCACAAGGAACCTTCTCATAGTGCTGCTCATATTCCGGGCTTTCTTTTCAACATTTCATCTCTTTCACTTGGACTGCAGGGAAAAGCATACTGTATTTAACTTTACCGATCATGTTCCAGTTACCCAGCCTCGCTGCTGCACAGTAGATACATGTTAAGGGTGTAGAAATTTACAGGCATAAACAGGAATTTTATCTGGGCATTATGTTTTATAGAAATCAAAATTATTGTCATGATTTTGAATATTTTTTAAATGAGATTCACTATGTAATTTCAGGTTACCAATCAGCCTGTTAATTTCCTAATAAAATACAGGACAAGAGTGCCATGTCTTTTGGTTATTCTAAAATCGAGACACGATACACACAGGAAAGCTGTTGGCTTTGCTTTTCTTTTTTCTCTTAGCCCTCTGTACAGCGTAGAGATGCCATATTTGCAAGGCAGGACTGGAAACCTTCTGCTGGTTCGTTACTACAGAAATGACAGACAGAGGGGACATAATCAGCTGGGGTGGCCTTGGGGAGAAAGACGTGTCTTGTAGCCCTTGCTGAAAGCAGCCAGGTCAATGCGTTTCTCGGGGCGTTGTGTTCATCAGAAAATGGGTCTGTTCTTACCTGTTTGCTCCCAAGGCCTTACCTACATTTTCTGTTTAGCAGCTAATCTCGGTGATAACAGTCTGGCATAGCAAGCGTTTCATGCGAAAGATCATTTCCCTTTCTTGATGTGTCAGTTGGTCTATATCCATCTGAAAATCACCATTACCAGAATCCTGGGAATAACCAGGTTTTACAGATTCTCAAGGCTAGTGGCAAGTTGTTGCAAGGTCGGTGATTCTTCACTTGGGTCCAGCTGATCCTTCCAGAAGTTGCACCAGCTGAGACCTGCTGCTTCAAATCTGATAATCCACCTCTCCCTAAGAAAAAGAAGATGATCCATTTTCCTGGCTGAAGACGGATATCATAAAATGAGCCATCCAAATTTGCCATGCGGCTGCCCAGAGCCAGCCATCCCCAGGTGTTCACTGGAGACAGGCCTGACCTCTCCGCTCAGAGGACCAGACTGGATTTACCTTGCCTGCTGGAGCTTCATATCTCAACAGCTTCTCCTGGAAGTGGGTACCTTGGCATCTTTCCTTCACAGAGCATTGTGGAACAGCAGCGGCAGGATGATGAGCTGAACAGTTCAACGCTGAACCAGCCTGAAGATACCAGCATGTGGTGAGTATGTGTTTCTGCTGAAACCTTATCTGCTGGTGTCCATGGTTCATCCAAACTGTTGGGGGGAGGGGGTGTTAAGTTGGTAGGAAATGTTTGTAAATAGCTTGAAGGGGAGCAAAGGAAACTGCAAGGTAGGCAAAGCCTCGCCTTGATAATTTTCTACCCCTTTTTTGGGGAACTGTGTTAAAATAAAGGCATCTGAGGCTGCAGAAAGGAGTCTCTTAGAGCAGCTCAATAGCAGTTTGCATTTCAAGACCGGTATAAGCTACGCCTGGACCCCTATCCCTGCCTAAAATAAAAAAGGTCAGCTAAAAAATAGTCATCTGAAAAAATGTGAACTGGCTCAGCTTTCCCAGCCTACCAGGATCTGGGTGCTATGCCCGATACAGAAGTTGTAGGAAGCCAGTGAACAGGAGAGGAGGAGAAATGTGGGGCTGCCCAGCTGAAGGTGGTGATGAAGGCTCACCCTGTCCCAGCCCACAGCAGAGGCAGATGACCCTGCCAGTTTGCAAAAAGAAAGATTAATGTGAGGGAGGGGGGAATGTGTGCAAGGGAGGAGGTTTAGGAGATGAGCAAAGGCATGGGCTCCTGGTTAGGGGGCTGCGCTGGCATTCAAGAGTCAGAAACACTGTGCCCGGCATCAGCATTAAACTCCTGTGTGACCTCAGGGCAAGTCGTTTCACTTGTTGGGCCGCATCCATTGCCCATCTTGTCTATTTATTTAGACCACAAGTTCCCTGTGGCAGGTTCAGCCCCTTCCTATATGTTTGCTCAGTGCCTAGCACAAAGGGGCCTGCGCTCCGGGGACTTGAGGTACCACTCTCATATAAATAATTACTCGGGAGGTAAAAGCCCCCCTGGAGCCCTGCTATACACAAAGCCTTTACTGTTCTGAGCCCAAGGAGTTTCAGAGCTGGAAGCGCCGGCTGCCAAACTGACAAGTAAAGGATGCGGGGTTTGAGATCCCCTTTGACGCAGTATCTTACAAAAGAAGATCGGGAGTCTGGCCATCACTCATTTTCCCTCTTTTATTTGAACGCGGGTTCATTTCAAATAATGCAATGGGCCAACGCAATGCTGGAATACTAGCTGAGGCAGAGATCTTTGGGTGTCAGTGGATTAAATAGCCACTTTACTGCAGCAAGTTCAGGGCTGTTGTTGCTAGCAGGTACCTCTGGGCTGATGTATCACCCATCACTTCTGAGGAAGGGGGAGATATTCCAGGGCTCTGAGCTGAAAAGGTCTGGGCAAGAAACAAATTGCTTTTGGAAATATAAATGTAAAATACAGGAAGATTTTCTTTTCTGGGAGAAAAGGTAAAAACAGTTTTAAGCGAATCCTCCTGTGCCCTGCTGAGATGGGTATTGCTGTTCTCATTCTACTGATGGGGTGGGAGTTTGAGAAGTGGAGGGGCATTGAGAAGAAAAGGAAAAAGATTAAAGGTCTGATGCAGCTCCCATTTATGTCCTACTCCTGTGAAAGTGTACTTGTGTGCTTCATTTATGCACAGGAGTTGGGCTACTGCCTACAGTGGGACTACTCCGTCCATGTGGGCCAATGTAAGGCTTTGCTGGTTCTAAATGTGCGGTAAAGCCACCTTTCTGTGGTCTTGCAGAGGACACTGGGCTCAGTTGTGTGTGCAGCGTTGCCTTCCACATGGCCACGTGAATTCACAAGTTTCAGTTTCCCATTCCTGTTTTCAAATCATTGGTTTGTAATACTCTTGGACGCCACTCGCTTTTTCAAGCCACAACAATTAGAGGTGTTTCTTTCCACTTCAGTGGTATGAATTTCCTTACCTACCGCACTCGAACACACGCAACGCAGTCTTTCTGCACGCAGAGCAAAGGCTTTTTAAATGCCCTCCGATTTCATTTCAAGTAGCTTGTGTTATGTTTTGCACCCTGGGCTCCCTGAGCAGCAGCAGCTGTGGTGAAGGTGCATGAAAAGCAGCAGGTTGTTACACCAGCACGGTCTGGAGGTGACACTTAGCTATGTCCCAAGAAGGATTCGCTCCCATGCAATCACCAAAAGTTGTTGAGATCAAATCAAAAATAGCAAGTGATTCTATCAATGCTGGCTTTTTTCTGTCTTGTCTGTGGGCAAGCTGTCGAAGGAGTGTGATTTCAGCTGAAGCTTTTTTTTTGCGGTTGCAACGTAGAGCAGGTTTGTTTTCTGTGCCATTCCCCTGGTGCCCAGCGAGATGTGCATTCACTCTCAGCCTTTCCTCGGTG